AGAGAATAAAGCCAAACACACAGTGAGAGAGAATAAAGCCAAACACACAGTGAGAGAGAATAAAGCCAAACACAGGGTGAGAGAGAATAAAGCCAAACACGCAGTGAGAGAGAATAAAGCCAAACACGCAGTGAGAGAGAATAAAGCCAAACACGTAGTGAGAGAGAATAATGCCAAACACGGGGTGAGAGAGAATAAAGCCAAAAACGCAGTTAGAGAGAATAAAGCCAAACACGCGGTGAGAGAGAATAAAGCCAAACACGCAGTGAGAGAGAATAAAGCCAAACACGCAGTGAGAGAGAATAAAGCCAAACACGCAGTGAGAGAGAATAAAGCCAAACACGCAGTGAGAGAGAATAAAGCCAAACACACAGTGAGAGAGAATAAAGCCAAACACGCAGTGAGAGAGAATAAAGCCAAACACGCGGTGAGAGAGAATAAAGCCAAACACGCAGTGAGAGAGAATAAAGCCAAACACGCAGATTGCAATAATTACCACTGCATGGTTAAGGGTGATGGGACATTGCACCCAGACCACTTATATGAGATGAAGTGGTCTGGGTGCCTACAGTGTCCTTTTAAGCGACCGGCTTGGAGACTATGGTGAGGCCTAATAGAAAGCAGTTGTTGTTGGGGGATTCCATTATAAGAGGTGTGGAGATGGACAATGGTGGTCTTGTGAGGTGTCTTCCCAGAGCTACTGCTCACAGAGACAGGAGACGTATTTGTAATATTGCACACGGGACATTTAGGGTTAAGTAAGGGTTAAAATAAAGTGAAAATGCACAATTTAGTGATATTCCCCTAATGTGAAATATCACTAAATATGAACAAGTCCCTAATCCTAACCCTAATTTGAACCCTAACATTAACCCTAAATGTCTCATGTCCTAAGCTTAGTGAATGCACTAACTATAATGAAAGTGTAGTGGTGTTGTGGAGACAGGCTTGGAGACTATGGTAAGGCCTAGAAGAAAGCAGTTGTTGTTGTTGTTGTTGTTGTTGGGGAATTCTATCATAAGAGGTGTGGAGATGGACAATGGTGGACTTGTGAGATGTCTTCCCGGAGCTACTGCTCACAGAGACAGGAGACGCATTTGTAATATTGTTAAGCGAGCAAAACAGGAAGGGGAATTGGATGTACTTGTCCATCTATGGAAACATGACTTGGCTTGCAATGAGGTTTCAGAGGTTAAGGAAGTTTTTAGTGTTTTTGACAATGATATACGGCAGGTTGCTTCTACACTGTCATTCTCTGAAGTTCTGCCTGTGCATAACACTCAGAATGACAGGCGGATGCGTATTAGGGACTTTAATCTGTGGCTTGGTGAATGGTGTCGGGAGCAAGGATTTGGCTTTATTTCTCATGGTAGCTCTGTTTGGAATGGAGATAACTGTAAAAAGTGGTTTGCATCTTTCTCAAGAACAAATGTTATCAGTGAGCTTGGTTGAAGAGGTTTTGCTAGGAGATGTATTTAAACTACGAAGGGGGCAAAAGGGTGATAAAACCCAATTGGACTGAAGGTGCCTGTAATGGCTACTCAGGTAGTGAGAGGGTATCAGCCGTTGGAGTCGTCCTTTTTCCTGGCAAGCTGCTGTATGGTAATGAAGTTACTTATTCCCATCCACAAGATCCAAGAGCAGAGTCATGCAAAGCTGTTAAAAGGAGCAAGGTAATTATGCAGTAAATCCCCTTCCAAGAACGAGACGAGGCTAGGTTTTGAAGGGTGAAGAAGAACTGGGTTTTAATGACAAGGATTCTCCCTTTATGCGATTCTGCCCATGAAAGGGCGACACCTACATAATTAGTACAGTAACCAATAACAAACATGGTACATCCCACACATCTCCTCCCCTCAGATAAACAGTTCACATAATTAACACACACACATTTTTACCCCAGTTTTGGATGTACCCCAAATACTAGGTGGAACAACATATTTAAAAATCATCCCATTCGGTTAAGGCGTTCGGGTGTTATGGGACTTTGACCGACCGCACAGGCACACTAGCCGAAAATAGTTCCATAAGTTTTGGCCTTGCGGTCGGTCCTCGTTCGTGTGGTGAAAAGGCACGAAAATCTTGCAATCCGTGAATATCGTGATGGTCGCTAGAATTCCTGTATGTGGTATAGTCTATTTACCGAACGGCAGGACGGTCGATAGTTTCAACACGAATTTATGGTGTTATGGAGGTCTCAGCGGTGTTCGCCTACTTGAGTGTCCAATTTTAGTTCCAGACACTCGACGGCAAATCACCGATGTTCGTTAACTAAGATGGCCGCGAACAAGTGTAAAAGTCCCAAAATGGCGGCCACCCAGGAACTGAAACAAAGAGTTTATGCGTTTCTCATACGGATGGTATGTGCCGGTCTGGGAGGTAAAATACCACATAATTGAATAGCAGGGTGGTCCGGTGTTCGGTAGTTTGTATACGTATTCATGCCTGCTGAGTCCCTACCGTATGGGTCGCATAAATAGACGAATGTTGGTAAAAGTCCCAAACTGTGATAAAAATAATCCACATGAACCAGGTAAGCATATTCCATTGTATTCATAGTCTCTGTTGTTGTATATGTACCTGATCAGTTGTTAAAGGGCTGGTTAGTAATAAGTATTCCCAGGCAAAAAGTAGGGTTCTGTTACAGTGCCTGTA